GATCAGGACTGTGTTTGAAGACAAACAAATGTGAGGGAATGAGGATGTAATCTGGGAGGAGCATGTAAAATGCTATAGGTAAAACAAATTTCTGATAGTTTGAAATCACAGTTTCAGCCAGGTATACTAGGGTAAAAGCAAAAAAAAAAAAAATCACAGCTGAACATTTGTAAAATTTAGATTAACCATTTGCTAAGAACAGAGAGGAGGAGGGGAGTGTTCGTCTAGCATAGCAAAAAATTCCTGCTTCCTCTAATACCCTATTATTCAAAGGAAACCTGTAGAATTTGCTGTTTCACCTTGTACAATGAAAGATCATTCATATAATGTTAATTTGTATGAAATTGAAGTTGCTAAACAATACGTTTTATGTTTTTTTAACTTACTTATTAAATTCAAGCGGTAATAGTTTTCAGCAGAATAATGAAAACATTTGTAAATGTTAAAATTATGAAGTAGGAAAGTTCCACATCTGGACGTTTATGGTGTTGCTGTCTCAAGTAACAGACATAATTCAAAAGCAGGAGTGCTTTTTGTAGTTCAGTGGAAAGCAGCAGCATAACTGAAACAAAGGGGCTAGCTGCTACTAATCTGTTATTGCAATCAGCTACCTCTGTCACATTTTATATGAAGAATAAAGGTAGGATAAATTGAAATAGCACGTAAAATATTTTTTTAACATTACTGCTGGCTGGATCTGTAAATGGAAATAATAAATCCTCATACAGCATGGAGGGTAATACTAAAGTATTCCCACTAGCATATGTTATTTATGGCTGTTCTAAAGTTTTATTTCTTCTATTTATGTCTCTCCCTTTATGAAGGGGTTGGGCCTGACTTGTTGCTCATAGGTAGCTCTTCTTATGCTAGCAAATCTCAGTTTTAGATAAATTCTACAGTAGCATCAGATAAAAATGGTATTATAAAGTCAAATAATTGCATTGTGACCTGCTGGGAAGATAAGACAAAATAAATGTTCATAAAATACTGAAATTAAATTGTATGAACTAAAATTCTTAAATTGCTTCTAAATAAGCTTATAAGTGGAAAGAAGTGGGATAAGTCTTTATGTTTATCATCCTCAGAGCTCCTTAAGTAATGGAGAAATAGAAATTTTCAGCATTACAGTTCATAGGGAGAAAAAAAGTCTTTACAAAAGTTTCTGAAATCCACATTAAAAATTGAGGGAAAGTATAAGTGTAGTTTGTATTAGTTTGCTTCTTAACGCACAAGAGTGTAACATGCAGGTTCAATGCTTTAGTATCAGTTCCTGGATTGCTCAATGTATCTAATCCAAATCTGTGTTACTAACTTGTTGCATTGTATTAAATTCAAAATATGCTTAAGCTCAAAAAGAAGGCAGTGATTTATCTTGTGTAGCTGAAACACACAAGTTTGTAGCCTCATTATCTTAAACCGCATCTTTGTCTTTCATACTAACAGAAGCTTAAGAAACATTTTGAAGGTGGTTCTGAATCGTCCTTGGAAGTGACTTGCCACTGGTATTTTTATGAAACCATCTGTGTGAGCTGAGCTTCTTGACTTTACAGAGAGGACATGCCCTCAGCTAGATGTTTGATCTAACTAAATTGCGTTTTCTGATCTTGAAGTAGGTCTGTGGGTTGTTGTGTGTGTGGTTTTTTTTTTTTTTTTAATCCGTTGGTCTGTCAGTGCACAGAAGAGTGCGCTTAGCTTAAAGCACAAGTAGCAAAAATATCCTGATGATATTGTTAGAATAACTTGTGTTTAGGTTAAAAGCAGATTTATGGTCTTTGCTGGAGGAAGGCTTTGTATTCCACAAACTATCTGATGGGAACATGTGAATCAAAATCCATAATGTTTCTGTGCTTTTACTTACTGTGCTTTCTGGTCCTTTTGATGTACAGCATCTTTGATGAAAAGGAATTCTGGTCCTTCTTGCTATATTTTTGTGTTGGGATCAAGCTCCTGTGACAGCTGGAAAGATTTTTGGAACAATTTCAGGAGAGCAGCCTTTGGCCTCTTCAAAGATCTGCTTGGAACAGTCCCATGGGATAAGGCCTTGGAGGGAAGAGGGGGCCAAGAAAGCTGGTTAATATTTAAGGATCACTTTCTCCAAGCTCAAGAGCAGTCCATCCCAGTGAACAGGAAGGCAGGCAAAAATGGCAGGAGGCCTGCTTGGATAAATAAGGAGCTCCTAGCAATACTCACACACAAAAAGAAAGCACATATAGGGTGGAAGCAAGGACCAGTAACAAGAGGAATCAGAAACATTGTTCAAGCATCCAGAGTTGAAGTTAGGAAAGCTAAAGCCCAAATGTAGTTGAATCTGGCCAGGGATGACAGAGACAATAGGGGCTTCTGGAAGTACACAGGAGACAAAAGGAAGGCTAGGGAATCTCCTTGCTTAACGAGGCGGGGGCCTGGTTATACAGGACATGGTTGCCTTTGCCTCAAACTTTATTAGCTTGACCAGCCATCAGGAATG